ATTCCTGATTCCAATTTGATGATGATGATGATGTAGGTTTTTCAGATAAACTCTGTTCATAATTTGGTGGTAAATCTGATGGTGGTGGTATATTATTCGAAATTGTTGAATTTACTATGATTGAATTTAGTTGTGAGGAATCATCATTATTAAGCTGTGGCCTGAAAAGCGGATAATTTGCTTGTACCATTATATCATTTTTTCCATGGAATGTTACAGTACGTCCTCTATCTGATACACTTACAAGATCATTAGCATTATGATCAAATATTACCATTTTCCAAGCTTTAGGACCTCCATTTAATATAATGTTCATAATATGTTCTCTTGGTGGTAAAATTTCATGAGGAGGATTATCTCGGGTAAACTGTCTACCAGCTTTATATGCCTCAAAATTGGCATTATGTCTTAAACCATGTAAATGCCTTTCAGCACCATATGCTGTATCGTAAGCTGGTGGTGGATCATTTAACGGAGGATATTGTAATTCTGATTGATTTCGACTACGATTATTTGTTGGAATTTCATGTTCACTCGCAAAAGCATCAAATGCTGTTTCATATTCAGTAGTATTATATATACGATCGTCTCTATAAAATTTTCTTATCATATAACATCTCCAAATTCCACATAAAATAATACCTACAAATATGAATCCGATTTTAGCAAGAATAATAATAATAATAATAAATAATACATAGTTTATTATTCAAATACTTTATATCTAGGGTTGTTAATAGATTGGGTAGGGTTGACCAACACCATTAAATTAAACCTTACATTAAATTCTACTTCGGGATGCTTCAAACCTGCACCGGGATGCTTCCGGTTACTTCAAATTTATAACCATATTTTAAACCTACTATATTATGGATTGAGGTCAACCTGGAACGGCACCGGAATATGCTACTCCATTAACAACCCTATTTTGTATCTGACAAGATGTTTTTAGATCTATCAGAGGCCAGATGTACCTACATAAAATTAAAAATCCAACAATAGCAAACATAATGATGCAATAATTTCCACACCTTCTACCTCCATCATCATAATACCAAAAGACCCATAATGATGATGTATAGGAATTTGAACTAGAACTTGAGCTACCACCATACGAACCAGATGATGAAGAAGGACCATCACCTCCCCCTCCTTTAGAATAAACTAAAAATGGCTGTTGTAAAAGGAAAAATAAAATAAACAAAAGGAATGTATCAAAATTTGATAAGGCATTAAAATACATTAATATTATTAACAAAATTTATAGGTAAATATAACGATTGTGAATAATTGAAAAGTTTCCGATAACTTTCTTTTCAAAACCGAAAATTCGGAAATTTGAACTTGTTCCAAACAATATTTTTAGAAAATTTAAAGCATTTACTCTTTTTCATACATTATTAACAATTTAAATTTACTAATTTTAAGATTCTCATATAGTAATAATTTTTTCTAATACGTAGAAAATAAGTTTCTTAGAAGGAAGTACGTTCGTACATACATAGGAGTGCGTAACATGTGTAATATCTGATATGCATGTGTAATGTTTATCAATACGTAACGAGTTACGCGTAACGGTACTACATAACAGTTAAATAAACCGGAAATTGAGAAATTGGCCCATATTATATAGATTAATAAATCTTCAATCAAAATTTTAACCAATGCATCTAAAAAAGAATATCTATTCTAGCTAAATTTTGCTTTATTCTGGTTTATCAAACCTGACAATTTTCTGCTTCTTACATATTTATGACAAAAAAGAATCATAATAAGTTCATTTGCAATTTGTGAAAACTCCGGGCACTCGTGAACAAGTTTGTGCATAAAGCTTAATTCAATAAAAAAGGTCTTTTTTTTATAAAATTGTTTAAAGCAAAATTACAATATTAAAAAAGTCCTTTAGTGTTGTACAAATTTTGACCTTTTTTTGGTAAAAAAGCTATTACACTATAAATCTGATAATTTCGACAAATGGGAATGAGTCACCAACCCTTTTTTCAAACAATAAAGAATAAAAGAATCAGAATTTGACCAAATTTAATTCGTACGTACGTAAATCAATTCTACGTAAAACTCGAATTTATTTAACTAAATTTTTTATTAAAAAATTTTGTCAAAAAAAATTTTTGGTGCGACCCCAAATTTTTGTTAACTATTAACGTTAACGTTAAGTGATTACGTACTCATATTTTAACATTCCCATTCATTAAGAGATTACTTATATTTTAATTAACGATTACTACGTAAGTGAATTTCGCGAGATACATTAATTAGTTAAGATTCAAAATAATAATAATAATAATAATTTTTAAATAGTTTTATTTATATATTAATTTTTACTTTTTTTTTTTACAATATCTTTTTTTAATACCTTTTTTAAAACCTTTTTGTTTTTTTTTTTTTACCAAAAATCTATATACACCGTTTCTCTACACACTATTTAATTACAAATTGTTTTTTTTTTTTTTTTAACCATTTACATTATAAACCACCTATGAAATAAAATTATTAAGAATAATCAGAAAAAAAAAAGAAAAAATTCGCCTTTTCATTTAAATAAAATTAATTATTAAATACCGGTGTAAGTAAAGTAATATTCATCCCAACTGTTGATTCAAGTCTAGATTCTTGAATACGGGATCGTGCATTTAAAAGAGGTCCGTGAATAATTGTAACATATTTTAATCTCCTATGCTTTTCTAATTGTTTTATGTGTGAAGGCGAGAATTTCACTGATGTAGATATTTGTAATTCTTCAAGATTTTTAAATTTGTGAATTGACTTAATAAGTTGCTAAATTATTTAAAAAAAAAAAAAAAAAAAAAAAATTAATTAAAAATACATAAAACAATATATAATATAATATATAAAATAATATATAAAATAATATTAAAATAAATTAAAATAATATATAAACCAATA